TTACGTTGAAAAGCACATTACTAAGGTGAAAAGACAACGGTAACTAGGGTGTTTTGAATACGATAACTGCTGTCAACTTCGTAGCCCAGGTGGACTCCAAATTCATATATTAATGTGTCAGTTCTCTTACACATGAGCAACCTTAATAGATTACATAAAACATCGGTATTTTGTTGCATGCCGTCACAATGTCATAAAACATGAAAGACAGTGTCAGGATGTCATAAAAACGTGTTCCGATAAATATAAAAAATAGCGAAATTTTAGATGAAATATCAGATCTCATAGGAAATTTAAGAAAAATAAACAAAGGTAATAATCGCCTTCTAGCAAAAAATACAATCTTTAAGTACTGAAAATTTATAAGTTATTAGTCTGGTTTTTTCATGCGCAACAACAAAAAAAAACGACGAACAACAACATATTAACAAAACAATCCACATTTCGTGTCCAAAAATTAGTAATGTAGCAATATAGATTATAGTTTTAATGTAACGTTACCGACAGCAGAAGCGGCCGCGCCCAATAAATCCTTTACCATGCCACCTCCTAGTAAATCGATGAAAGCTTCGCTGCATTTATCTGAATGAAAAAGTATGGGATAATAATATATGACTTACTAGTAATAATATTGGTTGTCATATGTTTGCCCATTAGTCAATTCTTCATTAATTCAGGGTAATATAGATCTTATATATATGACGAATAAGGTTCATCTAAATGCTGTAGTTAGGTATACCAATTGTAGCATATATTTCAAAATGCCTTGACATAGTAGAATTATTTACGTATGCGACCCACTCCCCATAAATTTGTAAAAAGAAATTTGCACTCAATGATTTTGTGTCTCGTAGAGGATTAAGCGCTAATTATAGCTAATTACTCCTCGTCTTAATGTTTTCTTGTGTAATTTAAAAAAAAAGAACACCGAAACTGTTAATATATATAGCTAAAATTGTTGAAATTCACCATTGTATTTTAAGGAATTTGCAAATTCAGGAATTCGCTTGATAATTTCAATTATGTCACGTTCTAATTATTACTGCACAAAAGCTTCATAATGCGACGGATGTAATTATTCCCGATGATGAGGGCGCAACAAGTCAGAAAAACCTTAGAATCCAGTCTTGTTTTGAATTAATTATAATATATATAGCTATTAGTAGGTGAAAAAAGATGTGAATCGCCCTACATAAAGATGCCAGCATTACAGCAAGGAATATAATTTTCAGCATCTTCATGTTCGTTGATAATTTTATTTCTGATGACAAAGATAATATTTGTTCTGAAAAGTATAGAAAAAATTATGAAACTTTATAAATTTTCAAGAGTAATGTTAAAGTATCCCATTTGAGAATAAAATAAAAACATTTTTTGATAGTTTTAAGCATATTTAAAAAAAAATCAGTAGAGTAGTATCAGTAGAGTCTTCAAAAATTATTCATAGAATCTAAAATAAACTTCTTAATTTTTGATTCCTTCGCTATCAATAACACTGTTATAAACACCGAATTTTGACGCTTCTTTTCAAAAATATGGACATGATAATATATATTTAGTAAATATAGAAAATTTGTAAAGACACTTAATTCGTATACCTGAACACAAAACCAGCTTTCTTTGTGCGATACCTTGTATGCATGCACCAAACAGCGACCAATAACGCCTTTTTATTGCTCCATGTTATTTTACCACATTCTATTTTCTTGAAGATATACCCGATAAAAGAGTAATCAGAAAAAGATTCCCGCATTCTGTGACAATAAATAAAAGAACTCGTGTGCAAATGACTAATTGCTCATACGAGGAGAAAACAAGAAACAAAAAGAGAGTAAAAATGTGCAAACATGAGCAACATTGCTCTGATTACAATAGTGATAAAAAAAAAATGAAAAAACAAACAAACTAAAATTGAATTGAATGTGGGAAATCCACCATTAAAGAATGGTATTTTTCATATTTAGTTCATATCTAATAAAAACTGAAAAGTGGTAACGTATAGTTATACGGAGACGATACAGTATATTTAAAAAAAAACGGAAATATGTATTAAACAACAAAGACTACCCCAAATTTTTATGATCTGAGCTTCTGGACACCACAGTGGCCCACGTTTTTGGGTGGCTACGAAATCCTTCATTGAGTACCATTAGCGATTACTGCTTTGATTTTAAGTAAAGTGACGATGATTTCTTTAGTTCTCTGAGGGTTGAGAGTCTCAAGAGAAAAACCGAAGATCTTAAAAGTTTGAGAATCACTGGCCTGCACCAATCATTACATGAGGGTGGGATACAGGGTTTGTAACCGAAATCTACGTAGTTGAAACCAACACTCTCATATTCCATGTCAAGCCATAATTTCGCAAATAAGATTCGGAGATGTAAATCCGAAATTTTCACATTCAAATTCGATATTGCAGATGTGTGATTCAAAGCGATTCCATATTTTTCAGCCTAATAAGTAAAAGTGCAATCGATATTATAGCAATGATAAATAGTTTGTATCACTATCGTTTCAGATCACATTCGTTGATAAAGTGTTTGGCGAATTCTGCTATATTTCAGTCATTACTAAATTGATATAATGTATTATTTTGGTACCAATAGTTACTATGAAAATTTCTGGATATTTTATAAAATAAAACTGAAATTAAAATTGAAAAAAAATATTTTTGTTTTTGGACATATGGTAGGACAAATGAATCGATTCGTTAAAGTAGTTTTTGGGACGAAATACTTTTTATTATCTCTTTAAGTGCGATGTTTTCTCCATAATTTTATTAATTTTGAAAAAAAAGAAGGATATTTTTCGCTTCAAGCTTCTATTCGCCGCCTTGTTGGCGAACGGGTTTTCAACAAAACGGCGAATGTTCAGAGTAATGATGCATTGGAAACTTCATTGCAATGGGAAGTTATTCCCGAAAAGTGCCGTTATGCATATTTGTTCATCATTTGATTATTATGAATTTTCCATAAAAAAATTTTCGTAATATACGTTGTTGACAGTTTTTATTCTGCAGGGTGATTTTAAATTTGGAAATAAAAAATTCCACTTCATATACATGGTATTTACATGATTTTATATATAAGTAAACATAAAGAATTTATGTAACTTTAGTTTATTTTATGATGTGCGAACAATTGTGAAGCCCAAAAGTGTTTTGAAATTTGATTTTTCAAAATTTTTTCCAGTATTTGTCATTGTCAATTTATCACAAAAATTTTGAACGAATTCGAGGTTCGGGCGAAATCTACAAGAATATCATGGTATTGGTTGTTTCATATTTGTATAAGGTTGGCTGCGCCCATATGCTGTTAGTGTAAAGAGTTCATTTGTACCGAGAATGTGCTTTGAGCAAAATCTGCAAGCGCGCAATTGTATGGAAAGTTTTAGGAAAATGTCCACAGAAGTACACAATTAACGCATTCAAAATTTACTTTACTCATTTTTATAACATAGATATACTCGATTGTTTCAAACCATATGTTCTTTGTTCTTAATATTTTGGATCCCACGCTTTCTTTCTGAACAACTAAAACGAGTTTTAACTTAAAATTTTGCAAAAATATTTAGCAGAGTATAAAACGCAACGTAACACACGAAAACAAAATGAATCCAATGATTATTGCAAACTCCATATTCCAAATTAGGTATTTTTAATATTTTCCATGAACACAAAATAGGGTAGTTCTACCACTGATTATGTTTTTTTAGTAGTTTTGCTCTTCATTGCAATTCTTATTCCACGCTTAAAATCATCCCTTCGCTTTATCTTTTGTGAAATTTTCCTGATTTTGTGTAATGTATAATTAAATGATCGTCTCTGGTAGTCGACGGTTGACTCGAGTGTACTACAAGAGCCATTCGATGACTTGCAAATTTCAAGGCATCCTTCAAGTTGAGGACTCCAACCAATGAATCAGAAGTTATTATATAAATTATATAAATCGATCAAATACTTCAAATACTATTGAAATATTGTGCTATGAAAAACGGTAGTCCTACTACAAAATAAATAATAGATATAAGTGAATTTTGGAAAAAAGGAGAGTAAAAAACATTTGAAAAGTAAAGAAATACTAAGGCTAGCTCTGACATATTCAAAGTGCTATGATATAGGTACTGTCCCTGGGGTAATACAAAGGTGTGCCTTCCCATCCCATCGTACTCCAACTTTAGAAGTAACGTATATTTAAATAATACAGATTTAGTAGTGAAATTCCTGATTTTTTTTCTGTGTGTCGAGTCCAACCGAGGTCTCGAGTCCTTTTGTGTATTTGCGGGATTTTTCCATCACAATGAACGTAACTTGAATATATTCATTTCGACATCACCTGTTCCCTTTATTAATTGGGGGCGCTGCCAACCCTGTTATAATGCATTCATCAGACCAATAATTGTGCTAGCTTGACGCAGTTATGATGCTGCGGTGTGCGCGGTAACAAATACCAAATAGTTCTTATAGGACACGGAGTGGACCCATAGTTTGTTTTGTTAAATTTTTCTTTTGTATTTTGGCATTGTACTTTGCAACAGTACCGAGAATATCGTAGAAAACTTGAAGTAAAAGAGTGTTCTTCTACGTCCTAAAAAGTTCTACTGTAAATTAAAATAAAATAGAGCAAAAATTCGGCTGAAATATCGGGTCCAATAAAACTCGAAAGGAATTTGCAAACGGTAATAGCGTCCTAGCGACTTCTCCCATCGTTAAGTAGGCTACTAAAAGTTTGAAATCAATTTGCTCATTGGTTTCGAAGAAAAGCGATTTCTTCTTAAAGACAACAACCCCCCTAACAGCAACAATTTGACAAAGCGAGACATATGCTCACTTTGTGATGGACGAAACTTTTTAGTATAATCATTGAAAAGTAGACCGTGCGACCCCCTGTACGTGACCCCACTTTGTCGGAGTTATGATATGTTGCAGTTTCTCCAAAAATATAAATCATGTTCATGTTCTCCTTGACTCTAAGACACAAACACAAATAAAAATACCGAAGTACAGAAAACAGTTTATTCAAAACCATACTTTAAGCATCCGTCATATATAACATCATCAATAGTACAATTTTTACTAATAAACTGTTCTCTCAAAATTACATAATAAGAAAACACAAACTTAAAATTCAATTTCGGAAATTCAAAAATTTATATGCCATTTTAGGGCTTGAAATTTGAATTCCTGCCCAAAAGACAAAATGGCTTTAATGATCTTGGTTAAATAAACTTCTATATGTCATCGCTGCTATGAGCGGCCAGTCTTACCAACTGGAAGGACCTATAACCCTTCAGCAACACCAAACAGTGCCAAATTAAAAAAAAATATGTTGAATTTCATAGACTGCCAAAAAGTTTGAAGTGCGATACAAATTTTTGTCAAAAATTAGTAGGGGTGATCAAAAAATAGAACTCAATCACTTGGAATATATTCTAGAGAGAAAATAACTTTTATCCAAAGCGCCTATAAATTACTGAAACTTTTGGGTACAGTCACACCCAAACAAAAGTATAAATGCTAAATAAATTTTCTTTATTTTCGTAAAAGTAATAATAAAATTTTGTAATAATAATTTGAGATGGCAATTAATTTGACAAGCTTTTTGGTAAAATTTATATTGAGTATACAGTTTTTACAAAATGCAAATTCTACTATCTAAAAAATAAATGTGGTAACAACGAGACAGATGATGGATCCGACAAGGATGCTTGCTTGTATGGTTCCAGCCCCATTTATTCCTAGAGAAAGAAATTGGAGAGATTTTAAACACAAGAACAACTTGAAAATATTTATATTGACCTGAAATTCTTCGTTAGGGAAAATAGGCAGTCTTTGCTGAAATCGGCAAACGAAAAAACCTCTATGTGGCGTAGTTTTAACAAATCAGCATAAATTTGGGATATATGGAACGACCACAGACAAAAAACAAACAGCAAATAAAATTGATGAATAGTGCACAAAATCAGAAAATGACCAAATAATCACCCCTCCTCCCCCGTTAAAAAATCTGTCTGTATGGAGAGTGAGTGTGCGACCGCACAATTTTTGATTTTTAAATAACCGTTAACTTATTGTTAATTGGTCATTGGTCCCAAAATAACCAAGGTAATCGGTAGACGGTGAAACATCCATTGATCCAATAGGTGAAAACCAAACATTTTTTTTTACCTCACAACAAGTTCCTTCTATTTATAATTTTATAATTTTTAATGTATTATATTTTCAATTTATTGTGTTCTACAAACAGGAGCAAACCATTATTTCAACAATAAGTCTATTACACTGATTCGAGTTTTATTCTAGAATGTCAAAGGTCGGACAATAGTTCATAAATCCTCTTATTAAGTTATGCATCTTGATTCTCTGTACTCGGGAAGTCTCGGTATTTTGTTATGTGCGGCAAGTTGCGTGCCAATCGGCATTTACTCAGTTCTGATATGTCGAGCCCATAATCAGATCTTAAAATGGACTCCTCATTCTATTTGTTTTTTGTTAAGAGCTCAAGATATTTTTCACCAACATATAAATTTACATTAATTCACATTAATAAATAATATTTACTATTTCACCACAATTTCTGTTTCGCATTCCAAAGATGAAAGACGCATTCCACTCTAAAGTGCTGTTAAACAGTTAACAAATTTCTGGAAGTAATATAGATAATAATTTTAAATTTTGAAGTTACCAAAGCCTCTGGCCATGCCGCCCGCTGCTCTCATTGCATCATCATACATGTTAGCTTCGCAGCATTTATCTGAAAACAAAAATTCATGACGACACGCTTGATTTCAGTACGACGAGATGTTCACCTATAGTAGTTAAACCGTTAAAATTAACTATGTTGGTTTAGCATGTAAAAGTCTCCGGTTCAAGCTTATGCCAACTGCCTCAATCATGATGTCGGTGATTGGGTAGACAATGCCGACCTGAAAGATTCTGGTCCTTTTAAAATACAATATATGTGGCTGCTCGCACAGAGCTTTGTTTGCGTAAAAGCAGTTAAAAACGTTGCATAACAAATTTTTGATTTTGGTTTTGAGAATATTTTTTAATTGCAAAGGTTTTGTGAAATAAATTTGAGTTGGGGTTGCGCGAGACTAACTTCCTATTCTTAATACATTTGTGTTAGTGTGCAGCTGGACTCTTTAATTGGATAGTTTTGTGAAATGTTGGCATCACTTACATAGGGCCGCTATCACTACAACAGTGAATAGGATAGTCAGAGTCTTCATTATTGTTGATGTTCTTTTCCAATTTAAAAGACAATATTCTGAAAAATAAAATAAAAGAAATCGTTAAATATATAAAAAATAAAGTTGAAAATTATCCTTGATTTGATATGAAATATATTTTGAAAATATAGTTTTTCACTATTTTTGAGTTAAGTAAAAAAATCGTCCAATTGAACTTTTCAACACGACCGTTATTGAATAAATTCAAATCTTTGTTTAAACAAAGATTTCTACATAATAATGCTTTCTAGTCAATAAAAAATTGTAATTAGCTAAATAATTCCGAACCTTAACATAAAATCCAGTTGGATCGATCCTGCTGTGGTTTCTTTTGGATATTGAGCGTAGATGCACCGGACAACGACTAATAAAATTAATTCGCTCGTACCGCCTTTTGAATGCTTCAGATGATCTCATTTTTTTTAAATGTAGGCCTCGACCCACCGATACTTACCTTTTTTCATGCTTACATTTTTTCATACTTGCGTTTTTTCAGGGAGAGGCTGTCAGATGCTTTTTCTTTTTCTATAAAACAAAATAAAGAGTTAACAAAAGTCCCGGTCCCAACAAAACATTCCCGTCATTGGGAAGACTCGGAGAAGTGCACCTTGATGCATACTCATTGAGCCCTCCAGTAACGAGTATTTCGTCTTGGCCAGGTAAGGAGAAAATAAGGAGTAAAAAGCCAAGATGACGTTGTGAAAGTTTAGAAAGAGAGATTGAAAGACCTTTAAGGAAGAAGAAAAAGAAGAAATACTTAACAAATAATAGAGAAAACAAATTTTACTAATCCAAAAGTTACCATATTCTTGGTGTATTTGGCGTTTATTTGTTAAATAGTGTTATTTGTCTTGCTATTATAATTTACTATGTTAATGAATAAATTATGTATTACAAGTTGTTTTATTTATTATATACAGGCAGATTTAGTGCTAATATTTGCGAATTAAATAGTTGACTCGGGGAGGTTATAGATCGTTATAACGGCGGCTAAATATTATTTTTCACAACGATGTAATTGTTTTAGGTGTAGGTTAATTGCTCGACTGTGGCTTCAGTGGGAATACCACGCACTCTAATGCGGGTTTTCTACAGTACTAAATAGATCAAAAAATTCCGAAACAGTCGAGATGTCTTTGGTTGTCATTATCGATCGACTCGACTGCTGAATTCCACACATTTCACGTTGGCTACCTTAGGAAATGAGGCAGCGACGCTAGAAAAAAGAGCCCTAAATGTTGAAGGCTGTGTAGTCGGCATGGCAGATGTTGCAATAGGAACCTGCATCGCGATTACACTCTTGACGCGAGTCATTGCCGAGAGGCATGTGTGTCCTGGCAGACATAAAAGAATATTTATAACTACGAAGTAAAATATTTTCTATTACAATGGGGTGTTACTATACAAGAAGATGTACCTATTTAAACTACCTTTTATGGTAGTACAAGACAGCAAAAAAAACTCAGGACTATATAAGTTAAATAATACAACACAAAGCTAGAACAAACAACAGCGGTAACGATTTGTAAAAGAAACGAAATAGAAATAGAAAAAAAATTGGACTGAAATCGGCAGTTATAGTTTATGCAAAATAATAGGGTGTTAGAAATTTATGGTGTGACATGGAACAATAAACGTCCAATTTCGCTTAAGCAAAATAATGACGCATTAGAAATTCCACAGAAAATAATTGTTGTTATGCAATTTTATTCATTCATTCAAAAACCTCAAATATGAGCAAGGTAATTTTTAATGGAATTCAAATTATTGATCGAAAACTTAAACAGTGTTGTCGATTCGTTTAAAAGTAGTTTTTAGTTACACAAATGTCTTCCTAACGTGATATTTCGTTTTTCCAGACTCCAGAGTAATGATGCATTGAAAACTTCATTGCATTTGAAAGTTATTGCTGAAAAGTGTCGTTATGCATTTTTGTTCATCATTTAATTTTTTTCAGGATTTTCCATAAAAAAATTTCCGTTTTCATTCTGCAAGGTGTTTATAAATTTGAAAATAAAAATTCCACTTTGTATACAAGGTATTTACATGATATTATATATATACAACATAAAATTGTTATGTAAATTTAGTTTATTTTATGATGAGCGAACTATTGTAGAGTTCGAAAGTATGTATTACTTATCATTGAATTGTAAATTAAAATTTTCGAGGTTTCAAAAGTTTAAATTCTTTCATCTGTAATTTTCCTTGCCGTTAATGACCACAATAAAAATGCTAATATTTGATTTTCAAAAATATTTCCAGTATTTGTCATTGTCAATTTATCACAAAAATTTTGAATGAATTCTGTTTGGGGGAAATCTTCAAAAATATCATAGTATTGGTTGTTTCATATCTGTATGAGGTTGGCTTCGCCATTATGCTGTTAGTGTGAAGAGTTCATTTATGTGTTTGGGTAAAATCTGCAAGTGCTCAATTTTATGGGAAGTTTTATGAAAAGTTTCACAGAAATGCACAATCGACTCATTCAAAATTTACATTAATCATTTTTATAACAGCACCCTTGCGTTTTTGCACGCCTACATGAATGCACTCGATTGTTTCAAATCATATGTTCTTTGATGTTAATATTTTTGGTCCTACGCTTTCGTTCTCAATAACTAAAACAAATTTCAACTTAAAATTTCGCAAAAATCGTTAGCAGAATATAAAACGCAACGTGACACATGGAAACAAAAAGAGTCCAATGATTGTTACAAACTTCATATTTCATATCAAGTAATTTTAATATTTTCCGTGAGCACAAAATAGGGTAGTTCTACCAAAAGTTATGTCCTTTATTATTGAGTATTGTTCTGCGCAGCAATTCCTATTCCACGCATGAAATCATCCCTTCGCTTTATTGGATCTCCGCTCTATAGGAGACCCTTATTATCAGTCGTTCTGTCTGTCTGTCTGTCTGTCTGTCTGTCTGTCTGTCTGTCTGTCTGTCTGTCTGTCTGTCTGTTTAGATGTAGCGTCTTAATGGCTGGACCAATCTGGATGAAATTTTTCACATGGGTTATCCTGTCACCCTAGTAATGTGCGTTTTATAGAAAGTCCAGATAAATGTTTCGTTTCCATGGTAACAACGAAAAACGCTCTGATCGTTGTGAAATTTCTATTTTTTTCACAGTTTATCGCCGTTTTCTCGCCAACCAAGTCGAAAATTAAAATTCCAAGAGCGCTTCCTTCCGCATGGCAAAGTACTCTTTCCAATAAGTCGTCTTTGGTCTCGATACTTCATAAACTGGAGAAGCCTTAGGGATTTCAGTGAACATAATTTCCACATTTAGTCACAGTATATGTCAACGGAACGCGCAGCGTTTGAAATGAACTCAACGGAACTGGTGAGCCGGTGCAGGTGTTCTTGATATACGGAATTATTATTTGCTTGAGATTTGATGTACTTCTCGCTGTTAGTGGGTGGTTCACCTAAACGCTGGCTACAGTTTCTTTAACTATTTAAGTCTATAAATTAGGATTGCTATATCCGAATCAAACTGGTAAGCAGACATCGTTGTATAAATATGATAAATAAATAATCCTATTAAACCGTAAAGTACCGAGAAAATGTTGAGTCTTGCATGTATATATGTTCCTTCAGCTTAAGTTGTAATCATAATGCCTAGGGGATTTCAGTGAACATCATTTTTTCATTCAGTCACGGTATATCAGTCACGTGAGTATGTCAACGGAACGCGCAGCGTTCGAAATGAACTCAACGGAACTGGTGAGCCGGTGCAGGTGTTCTTGATATACGGAATTATTATTTGCTTGAGATTTGATGTACTTCTCGCTGTTAGTGGGTGGTTCACCTAAACGCTGGCTACAGTTTTTTTTAACTATTTAAGTCTATAAATTAGGATTGCTATATCCGAATCAAACTGGTAAGCAGATATCGTTGTATAAATATGATAAATAAATAATCCTATGGACCTTTCCCCGAGCATCGACTTCCTTGTTTACTTCGTGACATTGGCCAATCAGCAAGATGAAAAAAGTGACGTAACAATGCCCCCTTTTTGCATCCGCTCAGACACTTTTCTCACTCAGACAGATTTTCAAGCGTGGTTGTAAACATTACCTCGTTTTCGCGTTTTTGAACTCTATTCGTTAGTTTTCAGTTGTGTTTCGGAAACTTAAATAAAAATCAGATAATTCAATGATTACTCTGTCTTCCTAGGAGTTTTAATTTAATTGTAGTAATATAAATTAGTGTAGAAATAGCTGTGATAGACTAGCCTGAAATTCTTTACCGGTACTTTGAAAAAACCGATTGTTGTGTGCAATGAATCATAATGATGGTTTGAAACACATACCCCATTTTACAGGCGCCAACTCGCAAAAGCACTCCTAAAATAGCACTGAAAATTTTGCAATGGTAAAGTATATGAAGAATTTTCCGGGGGTCAAAGGTCGGGGAAAGGTCCATTAAACCGTGAAGTACCGGGAAAAATGTTGAGTCTTGCATGTATATATGTTCCTTCAGCTTAAGTTGTAATCATAATGCCTAGGCGAAAGAAAACTATTAAGCGATTATTGGAAGCACAAACAAGCCAAACTCGCCTCTCGCCTATTTCTTGCGAGGAAATTTTCATGAATTCACTTCCAAGCGCACAAATTAAAGAGATTTAAATCTGAACGAAGTTAGGCCGACCACTAAAGTGCTACAGAGACTAAAATGGATTGGATCCTCGCAATATACTGTATGCCGCGGGCCTGGGTGTCAGCGGAGATCCTGGACGCCTACCGGCTTGTCTTTTAGGAAATTACCATGATTTTATCTAATGTATAATTAAATGACCTTTCGGGTAGTCGACGGTTGGCTCGAGTGCACTACAAAAGCGATTCGATGACTTGCCAATTTCAAAGCATCTTTCAAGTTGAGGACTCCAACCAATCCATAAAATATTGAATCAGGCGTTATTAGATAATTAGTTTAAATACTTCAAGTAGTACTGAAATATCCTCCGATAAAAAAAGGGTATAAACAACCGTGAAATTTGTATTACAGATATCGGAAATCATATGTAAATATGATAGGAAAAATAAATAAATAAAGCCGATTTGTAGGTAGACCATTAGCCATAGCCATTAGATTAGACATAACCTTATACTCTCTCGCAAAGAATAGTGGCCGGTCGCTAATATTGAGTTTATAGATACTTTAAATTTTACTAAATAAGTGATAAGGGTAATTCTGAAGAGTATATGACAGGGTAATGATTCAGTGAACTGTATTAATTATTGTAAGGCCGTGTATTATTTCATCTGTGGCTATCTGTTCAGTCTTGTTCGTAATGAAATAGAATTCAACACATTGTCATGCCTCGTAATCTGAATTTAAACTGGAAAATTGTCGATCTATATTTTAAATTTATTCTAAAACGTATTGATATATCAATATTTTGTACGGCTCAAAATTTTGAATATAAAAGCGGTAAGATATAGGTGTCATTGTAGTGTATGTAACATCTCAATTGATATAATAGTCGGTATGTCTGAATTAGAGTTTGCGGAAGCAAAAGTGACTTTAGATGCCAGAAATGGACATTCTCTCACAACGAAATATTACTGCCAAGTTACTAATAGTAAGGTAACATGATTGTTCATTCATACATATACATGTTGTTGTTGAAAGGTGGAAGTGCCTCCTAGAAGACCATTACGGTTAGTTTGGTCAAATCTTTTTAAGCCACTTGTGGCCCGTAAACTTTTATAAAATCAAAAACGTGAGCCACCATTTTTTGCAAACTTATTTGCATTTAAAAGAATTTACCTTTTTAAGATATATATAATTAATTTATTCTTAGAACTTCAATGGCGCACAAGGTGGAAACATAAGTTTCTCAAGTCTATATCATTAATGAGTGAAAAATTAAGCGTTTTCGATAATATGTGTCGTTCAGTATTCTAATTCTTTTTCAGGCTGTTGAGGTTGTTATGGAATTATCCTCATTAGAGAAGACAAGGACACATCGTCTTCCCTTAAGATATGTTCTAGTGATTGATGTTAGTGGTAGCATGGATTGTAGCGTTGGGCATACCTGCTCTATATCACTGCTAGATAGAATCAAAGTAAGCAAAGCATAGTGAATTTTGCAAAAACAAAAAACGCAAATTTTTCAATGATATTCTGAAATTCCTTTCGGTTTTTGCTGCCGTGAGCAATAGCAATATGCAAAAAAAAAGCAATTGTCTGACGAGTCGCTCTGCGTACGAGTTATACGGTTTCAGCAGATATTTCTTAGCAACGACTTATTTTTGCGGAATTTGCCAATTTAATCGATCGTAAAGTGCTGACAAATATCAAATTTTCTCAACAGATATTTGCGAATCTTGTTGTACAAAAGATGATGAAACAAGATTTCCTAGCTATTGTAAGCTTTGCATGTGATGTTGTTGTAGATATGCCGTTGACTTTAATGGATGACAATGGAAAGGTAAAACGACCCTTACTCTTTAAAAATCTATATTAAAATGAAGAAATTCACTTCAGCAAACTGAAAATCATATCCCAGTACGATAGTCCAATCAATAAAATTTATTCACACATAACCTTATAAACAGTCAGATTATATAAGCTAATTGAGACATGAGGTCTAAACCAAGGTATCTATTTCAAAATAACGGCTAGTTGCATAGTGTTAAGTAAAAAAATGAATGTAAAAGTAAATCACCTTGTACATGACATAAATGTCTAGATTCTAGAATAAACCATCAAGTTGAAAAACTTTAAGGAGAAATTGCTGAATATATTTATGCCTAATAACATAATTTTTGCAAATGCCCGGAATCTCAAAAAAGCGACTAATTTCTGATTTTAACAAAAAAATCTCTTTGTGTAGATTATTTATTCGAGCCTCAATCTCGCCACAAGCTTTTTTCATATTTCATTTTGGGCGTAAAACCACCTTTTGAAACGTGATTTTAAAAAGTATTTGGGTATAGAGGACTTGCACGGGTCACGTGACTTTGTTTACTGGACGGCAAAAAAACAAAAACGTTCATTTGGCTCCTGTCAGTTGCAAGTCGGATTATACGTTTCCGTTTTGTTTGGCTGTTGAAAATGATTATTTCGTATTATTCCGTTGGCTGTACGTATAGTATAGAGCAGTGGTTCTCAAACTTTTTTAGTCCCAGAGCCGCATTTCAAACCTCAAAGGTATGAAGAGCCGCACACAAACAACGCAAGGTAAAATAGCAACAAACCTCCAGCGCGTAATCAAAATACTAAGTCATCGTAACAACAACACACGTAACAAGTAGGGCTGGGCAAAATTTTCGAAAAATAAAATATTCGAATGGCCTTTTACGATTCGGATATCCGGTACCACGTGACCTGCGCCGCTCTGCTTGGACACCGAACTCGAGCGTCTCCAACTCAATCGTGAATTGTGCGAGATTTCCCAACAGCGCTCGCTATCAGAAAAAATTTGAAAAGTCGTCTTTGCGTTATGGTGTTATATGCTTATTTTTGCACCTAACGTATCCTTTCAATTCATCATTTTGCAAAAAAAAAAACGTACCGACCGTTCCGTAAATTTAGAAACGTCAAACCAGATTAGGTATTTAAAATAAATTTCCCAGATTTACACTCGGCATGCTTGGTGACATGTCATTAGCCATTTCTTGCATTACCGAACAAAAAGTTGCTTAAAATTAAATGTTAAAGTGACTTTTAGGCGTTTCATTGTGAAAAAGGCGATTTTAGGTCGTTAAAACACTCTAGTTATGTAAATAGCATGGATTTAAAAATGACCAAAAATTTTTCCAAAAGCTGGTATGAGTTACTTGTATGGAAAACACTCATTAAGTTGTAACCGGATAAGAAATGTCATGTCCTACTTCCTTTAAAGCACTGACTCGTTCACGAATTGTTGCGTCTATTATCATCGAAAATGATTACAATTGTTAAATTTTGAAGCATTTGGGCAGTAATAATTAAGCCTCAAGGTATGACATAATCGAAATCATTAAGCGAAGTGCTGAATTTGCAAATTCCGTAAGGAAAATTGAGCATTACTCAGTAAGTATTTTAGCTATAATAACCATCGGGGTGTTGTTTTGTTGAAAAAAAAAACGTTAAAACTTGAAGGAATTAGGTATAATTAGAGTCTGACCCTCTATTAGGCACAAAGGCCTAGAAATGCCTTTATTGCCAATTTATTTAATCGCTATTTTAAATCAACATGCAGGATTCACGCAATCGTAAATTTGCTAGGTTTATCTATCTAATACTAAAATAACACGGACACCATAGAAAAGCATGAGAAACTCAAATATCATTATGATAAATATCTGCATCTCGGTTACTGTTCACTTTAAACATGCACGGTTAATTTACAAGCGGTGATAAGGAAGATCGAATCCAAGGCAGAGGATAAAACTCAGAATAGAATTAATTTGATTCTAAAATTAGTCCTTAAATGTATTCAACAGCTGTCGCTGATGTGAACGCAAGGGTATACTAGAAATATGAAATTTCGATATTCGGCGACCGCTTATTCTTGCAAAAACGAGAAAGGGCGGAAATATAGAATACCAACTTTAGGATATCGCCGCCAAAACGATCGCGGTGACAAAGACAATCAGCAATTATGATAAAATTACCCATTAAAAAACGCTTTATTGCCGACTTTTTAATGTTTCTATTAACTTACCAAATGGAGTATCGACCTCCGAAGTTCTGGATCCCTGTTATGTATAAAAAAATATTCAAATTATTCGATTCGAAAAAAAATTCAATTTTGCCCACCCTAGCCTAACAGCTATTTATTTAGGCTTTGATTTCTAATAAGTTTGTCAAAGCGGGTCGTAATCGTTGAGGATGCAAGGTGCAGTAGCTGCTTGAGATGATCGCCAGATTTTTCGAGACTATTTTCGATTACTGGAACAAAATAAAAATGCTATAGAAATTAAAATAATCATCGAGTTATTTGATTTATACATAAGATCTGGAAATGGAACAAAAACTGAAAATCCACGAAAGCAAGCTAATGATTACAGCCATGTCAAAAAATCTTTACAAGTGAAAAGTGTCCGATTGGCCGCGAAAAAGCTCACTGTTTCGTCACTATTGCATCTTATAGGTTAGTCAACGCTACGCAAATAAACACGGGGGAATCCATTCGACTAACTAATAGACTTCAGCATTTTAATTTCGAGTCAATGATTAGTTTTCAATGAAAAATTTTCTTTGAAAATAATTAATTTTTAAAACATTAACGGGAGCCGCAGGAAAAATTGTTGAGAGCCGCATGCGGCTCTCAAACCCTAGTTTGAGAATCACTGGTATAGAGGGTATAGACAACGAAATGGATCTTCAGTCATAATCCACTGTTTTCAAAAGATCCGGAACGTCGCGCAATGTGGATATCATCTATTGATTGGCAGGACTGCTTGGTGTCAAGTCCAGAAGTCATCTCGCTTGTGTTTCACGGTTTGCGGACAGCACTTCGTTGATGGTGAGTGATAATGTGCCGTTATCAATTTCTTTAAATATTCATTAGCTCCCTCATTTCGATGGAAAGCAGATGACAAACTACTGTTATTGGTAGGCCTAGGCTACTCGCAGACTTGACTTGTGTAAGGAATTAATCGTCAATTGCCATAAGGTATTGTTTGGCCATAAGGTAAGGTTTGCAAGGTGCAACATCGTACGATTACCATTCTATGTCGGGATTAGTTAGCCAGGTATTTGTTTTCAGAAGCATGGACTTGATGGAATGTCATAATCGACCAGCGGTCGTGGACCACCCTAACTGGGAGGAGAGCTGCAATACTCTCGCACATGACTATCCCCGCATGGGATTGGGACCGGTGAAACTACCAGGGTGATCAGAGATGCGATGGCGAGCGTATTCCTAGATGGCGAATTCAATTGAATTCTGATTATTTTCTGCATGAGCACTGTCGTTAAACTTTAGTTATCTATTCAACTTTTCACACTTACTAATAGATTACCTGCTAACTAGGGAAACAATACCCTTTGGCAATTGATGATTAAATCCTGACACAAGTCAAGTAGGCTTACGCCTAGGCCTACCAATAACAGTAGTTTGTCATCTGTTTTCCATTGAAATGAGGAAGCTTATGAATATTTAAAGAAATTGATAACGGCACATTATCACTCACCGTCAGCGAATTGCTGTCCGCAAACAGTGAAACACAAGCTAGATGACTTCTGGACTTGACACCAAGCAGTCCTGCCAATCAATAGATGATGTCCACATTGCGCGACGTTCCGGATCTTTTGAAAACAGTGGAATATGACTGAAGATCCATTTCGTTGTCTATACTATACGTACAGCCAACGGAACAATACGAAAAAACCATTTTCAACAGCCAAACAAAACGGAAACGTATAATCCGACTTGCCTTTGACAGGAGCCAAATGGACGTTTTTGTTTTTTTGCCGTCCAGTAAACAAAGTCACGTGACCCGTGTAAGTCCTTTATCCCCGTATTGTGTGTACCAGGTTAGGGTTAGGCCATAATTTCATTCCGATTTTCTATATTTTAGTTCTATCACGAGTTCGAGGACTGTCTGTTTTAGCCAAGTGAATGTCCCCCTGCCGATAGGTTTCAGTCCCTTCACACAACCTGATGTGAAGTAGGCGAACAAAATTTGTTACCTCCATATTGGTACACACACTTCTGGAGCGCCGGTATTTTAATAAGAAGATACAGACTGGGCAGTTTTAGTTATGCAAAGGTAACAAAGCTTTCAATTTAGAACAATGCAACATACATCATCGAAAACCTCTACACAAGAGGAAGAACCGACTTGGGACTTGGATTGATGGAAGGACTTAGTGTATTGAACGAGTATGTTTGGATTTTTACGTATAATTTGATATAAGCAGAACGCTTCTTATTATGTCACGCCGGTGTTCTAACTCGACTCCAAGGTTTTTAGCTTAATTTTTTTGTTTTCCATTTATGTCGTGCCCGTCTCATTTTTCTCACTCTTTTTCTCCTTCTCGCTGAACTTATTGAACACGAAGTAGACTTTTAGATCGCTTCAACATCAATCTTTACTGCAAAGCAAACTTGAAGCTAAAATGCCTTACCGCACGGATGCCGATGCGCAACCTTCGCGGTCTTACCGGTACCGATATGAATTGCTGGAGCGTTGGGAATTGATTTGCAATATGGGTTCGAACCTTAAATGATCGGAAAACTGACTTCAGTATAATTTGCATATGCTACCGGTACTGAGGCTGGTCTATGTACTTTCGTGTCCATATATTTGAGCATTGTATTCATATTTGAGCCTTGTTTTTATACTCTTTATAATTCTCTTTATACAAGCAAAGACAACAAACAATATCGGGATATGATTTTAATATTTACGGATGGAGAAGTGAATGAAGGAGAGAGAAATGCTTCGAAACTGGTAGAGAAATACAACGAGGCGACAAAGTCTCTAAATAGAGCCTCTTGTGTACCTATTGCTGCTTTCACTATAGGACAATACGTTCCAGATTTTCTCAGAGAAGTATTTTATTTTTAATATTGAAGACGCTTATTTAATGGTGTAGAATGATAAAAGTGTAACGTTTATATATATATGAACGAATTTAATTATACCATACTGTTAAGCACAATCATATCAAATGCCTATCATCTCAAACGCGTCACACTGTCTAACCCAGTGGTTCTCAACATTTTTTCTTTCGTGGCTCACTTTTGTTGCATAAAACAATCTGTGGCCCGTTAACTTTCTCATGCAAAGAAAAAACTACGTAAAAAATCCTCCGTAAATATAGACACTTGAAATGAGAATTACCAATTAGTAGCAAAAACAGCATCATCGTTTGATGTTATTGCAACCAGAAGCTAATTCATCAATATTTATGACATTTTAATGTGTTTGTGGCCCAAAAATATTTCCCAATACACACATTTAAATCGATGGGTTTGTCAATTTTAGGAGATAAAATTTATGAAATGAGTAATAATCTACACGTAGATTACATTCTATAAAGTGTTTCTTTTTTCTCAAAGCTTTCTAGTCATCTTGGAAGTGATGCGTTTTATTGGTTAAATGAAGAAGAGGATTTTGAATCTGACATGCTGTTGCCGATCTTTCTCAGGTTTTTCGTATTGATATCGAATCAAAACACGGGATTGTTAAAACCATTTAAAGTTTTACCATTTCATGCTCATTGTTTGCCTATCCTCCTCAATAAATATAATATTGGTACCTATATACATATATTGCTCAAAATCTGGCAACTTTATTGATAATATTAACGATTTGTGTCGACTATGTTACAATATATCTATCTAGAACACTAATGACGGGGTTTCGATTTTAAGATCCAATCACAACTGCCATAAAACACATGATTCAGGGCTAGATTTGACATACTGAACACTGAACATTAACTTCCAAATTGTAACATGAGGTCTGTCGTATATATATGCAGAAAGCGAAAATCAAGAAAATAAAACACTTTTAATAAATTCCAACTAAATCTTTCGTTTTCATAAAAATCTGAAGTGAATCTGTATTTATAACATGAATATTATTTGTATAAAATGTCTTTCCTCTAATTCCAGAGAGTCGACCCATGTTACTGACATTGCAATAAACATGGAAACACTAAACGGCGTTACGTTTAATCAACGTAGTCTATCCAGACCTCATATGAAGGTAGAAATGCTGTAAATTAATTCAGTAATTATAGCTATAGCTATTATTGAGTTAAAATTTCGAATGAGTGTGTGTACCAGGTTAGGGTTAGGCCATAATTTCATTCTGATTTTCCTTATTTTAGTTCTATTACGAGTTCGGGAACGTCTGTGTTAGCCATGTGAATATACCCGTTGCCCATAGGCTTCCGTCCCTTCACACAACTGGATGTGAAGTAGTCGAACAAAATTAGTTACCTCCATATTAGTATACACACTTCTGGAGCGCCAAAAATTTCATCTACTGGTATATTGTTTAGAAAAATTTACTCAAAGCTAGGCCACGCGCACTCACTCAAAAATAAAGGAGACTAATCTATGATCGACGTTACGGATGACCACACTGAAGTACCAAAAATATAAAGAATTATATTAGCGGATCACGTGTTATGAGTTAGTAGTACGGGCCAATGCGATTGCAAATTCAACTATGAAGTAGTCAATTCCACATAATTGAAGTTCTTAGAAAAACCTTTCGGCATAAAAATTTATTTGACTGGTGAGCATTGATGAGTTTGCATTTGTTTTCGATACTATAAACCTAATTCTGCCGCCGTAGATTACCGTTATTCGGATAATTTGTACATTTTTGAGTGGAAACTTTTGTAAAAATCACGATTCATGGCAGTGTTTGATTTGCTGGAGAATATAATTTGATGTAGGTCTAGCGACATATAGTGCCGTTTATGTATTATTCAATTCTCATGTTAATAGATGTAAAATTATTTTCATGGATAAAAAAATATTGTATTGAATATATACTTAATTGTTTTTAATAGGAATCCTCTGACACAAACTTGAAGTATTTTATCCACGGACTGCCAGTTGCAATCAAAAAACATATTCCGTTCTCTCTGATGTTGCCACAGGACTATATTGAGGTTATTGATAATAGTTAATTGCCCCAATTAAATATGTACGCCTCTAAAAATTAATGTTAAAACGCCTAATTTTCACCACGCCGAAATTAAAACTTCACAAAACTATTTCACATTATACTAGATATAATTTTTTCAACGATTTCATTTTGTTCTATTGATTGCATTCGCTGATGAATATATTTCACAAAATCCTTAGATGTCATACAATTTGAGTATAACTTTTTTTAATTCGAGATAGAATAACATAGATTCAAATATAACATGGTCATAGCTCTCTTAGTGCATTTCCATTCTGAAAGCCCCATTTTTTGCATTATATTTCTTACACACATTCAAGACGATTAATATCAAAATATCATATATGTAAAAAACTTTTTTACTTGATTTTTGACAATTATTTTTAACAGAATTTGCTTGGTCAAAAGATTGTGCACATTGAAGTAACATACTTGGATGAAAGCATGGAATTTCAACAATTTAATGATTATATTAATTTATCGAACATCACGTTGAATGAATGTAAAATGGGACCTAAAGATGAAAGTGGTAAATCAAGATATCGAATTAATTGTGGCTATTTGTAATTCTGATTGATTCCTCTACTCCAATCTTTCTCCTAGGCATAGATGTTATCAATTTAGACATTGTAATAAGCACGTCTCTACATTTGCGACGATACTGCTTTCTGAAGTCGTTGAATCGTTGTTACAAACAAGACTATATACAGAGATTATATGCATTCATTAGGTATAGCTCATATGCCCAATTAATAATAAATAACTACAAACAATGTTTATCAGACGAGCCAATGAATGGAATATCTGCGTATATGGTGGTTCAAGATACCATTTATCGAGTATGGGAGGACTCTCAGAGTGCCCTAATTGCCGTAGCGGATGAGAAATATAGAAGGGCAACTTTAAATGGAATCGACAACGCGGAGATTAAATTGAGGTATATATTGTCTCTAGATATTTCAATAAGTATAAGTTCCCATGTAATTTTAAAGTGTGCATTCATTTCTGAATGGGTGCTGTGTAAGAAGTAGCATATCGGATGAAAACCCTTCTTAAAAGAATAGAGATTTGAATAGTTTTATTTTTGAGATAAACGACTAATATTACTTTCCGTATACTTATTAGAGTCATATGTTTGCTACCACAAGACCACAATTGACTTTGAATTTTGGAGATTAAATTTTACACAAATTTTGCGTTTTCGGACATACATTAAACGAAAAATACAAAAACAGCGACCCTGAATTTTAGAATCAGACGCTAAAAATGTTTAGTTTATGTCAGTTTATTTTCTTTTTCAGAAACGACGATCGAGAAGGACAAAAAACGGTGATTTTTCATGCTACAAATGAAATCGTTTCCATCAGAAAGACTTACATTGTATTGGTCGAGATTGATAGCTTTTATGCAAAACATTTGAGAGATGGAGCCAAACACTGGATTGCAAAACTTAATACAGTGGGAACATTAGAAAGGTAAATATTTTACCCCTTATCAAAATTTGTACATGAGAATAATGAAAATGGCACTCTAAATCAGATCTATGGAGTAGGGAAAAATTACACTCAACTCTGACTCAAAATTTTCTAAAACAACTTCGACTCTCGACTCCGGGAGTTTGAGAGCACGATTTCTGCTTTGAATTGTCTTCTGATCAAAACACCCTGATTCCGCCTCTTTCAGTTACATGAGTATTCACCATGATACAGTGTCAATTGATACCTATACTTTAAAACGAAACATCGCACTAATTTTGAAATGGTTCTGTGATAACCTTCAAAATTGTATAAGTTGCCTAATGACCAGAACAATTGCATGTAATGATATTTTGAACGACGGTAAAGGTGATACCTTTTACGAAATATTTTTAGTCTTGGACGCATTTTTGCTCTGAAATCATCGATAGAAACCGAAATGCCAACTTCAAAAGGAGTTTTTGAAGACGTGGAAAACCAGCTATATTTACCTGAGCAGATCGAAGAAAAACTAACTGAGATTGAATCGGTATACACAACTTTTTTATTGAAATTATGCATTGAAAGCAACGGTAAAGTTTTCAATTTGTTATCGTTGCTCACACGGGTGTTTCCAAAATGTCATGTCCCACTTGTACCACGTGTCCCACGTGTCCCACTTGCCCCACGTGGCCCACTTGTCCCACGTGTCCCACTTGCATAACGTGTCCCATTTGTACCACGTGACTCACTTGTCCCACGTGCCCCACTTGTACTTGTCCAACGTGTTCCACTTGTACCACCTGTCCCACTTGTACCACTCTTGTATAATCGTGTCTCACTTGTCCCACATGTGCCGTGGGACACGACATTTTGAAGACACCGTTGCTCACACTACCATCCATGATCAGATAGCTAACTATAGATAAAAATCAAATTCACCAAATTTGAATGTGTTTTGCTTGTGACACCCAACAGAGCATGGAGTGAACCCAAATATTTCGATTTTTCGTTAGGACATCATATTTTTACAATATATATTTATTATAGTCAGAATAACTCATTACTGCTGGCCCCACTTTACATTTTGGTAATGCCAATCAAAATCCCTTAGGCTTCATAAAGATCGAAAAACATTTCAAAAATATGTATAATTCATTAAACATACAAACCTACTTTCAAATCATTTTGAAACCCATTATCAAATAAACTATCGCTTTTCAGGATGTCAAAGAAGAGAAGAAGAAAAGACAACTGAAGGGGAAAAAGTATTTGCATTCTGAAATATTTCAGTTGAAACCCACCATTCACAGAAATGATAGTTTGGTTTCACTCCTATCTTAGAATCCATGACATAATTTTCCTCAAGTTTCAAATATAACTTGACTTTAGAGCATTTTTCTTCTTACAAGTGAGTGTGTAGCCTTAACTATATGCTGGTGGAAAACTCGATTAAAAAAAATCGTTGGTTATTACTTATTATAGGTTAGTTATACTTATACTCACAGCAACAATTTTACATACCTCCGCTCATAGCATATTTACGATAAACTTAGTCTACCAAATTTTGTATACCTTGAATTATTAGATGACGAGGCGCTCACACGTAATAACTTTCCGACATTATCTACACTATTCATTACCACGCGAAAGAAGTTGTTGGCATGAAGGTTAAAGTGACGTTTTTTGCAGACTGTTTTCTTCAAAAGTTTCTCCTGGAGATGATCAAAATACTGAACACATTCTATCTCCACTTATCAACAGTGCCCCAGAAGGTGTCAAGGTTAGATTGAGTAGCTTAAAATTACAATTAATTCAAGGATTTAGGGTTTTGGAAAAATAATGTTTAAAGAAAATCTGTGCCGAATAATAATTTATTTATTGGAAAAAATCTTTCCGTAGTGTTTTTGAGTGCATCGGTAAATAGTTTCGGTTTCAAGGTAATACATTCAGACGCCAGGTGGATCTTATCCAATCAAACGTCAAATTTGGCCAACAAGGTTTGTAATAAACCCGAAAATCATAATAGATTTGTTTTGTGTATCTCAAATCTAGATTGAAATATTGTAGGTAACCCAATAATATAGTCATATTTATGTTGCATATAAAACCATGGCAGCAGCCCGTTTTGATTTGCGTACAATTGTTGTTCACTCGGCTTTAAAGGACTTTGAAATAAGATCATGTCTACTCATAACATAACCTATCCCAAATTGAGCTAATAACATATTTTTGTCAAGGTTACAAAGAAAATAAAGACGAAAGAAAATTTTGGAACATCAAGGTTATTAGGAAATTTAAACATAATTTTATTTTCAACTTATTTTTTAATATTAATAGATTAAATCGAATATCGAATTTAAGAAATTTTTCAAATGTCAGCCCTTGGGATACGTTTGAAAAAAATCTCTTAATAGAAAAATCAAAATTTAATTGTGAAATATTTAATAAAATTATTAACCCAGTTTTGCTTTGTGCGTTCTATGTGTTTTTCAAAAACGTTTCCAGCCTCAACCTCATTGTTTTTAATATATAAGATAGATGAAAATTTGTTAAGCATAAGACGAAGCATACTTACCTGGATATACATAACTTTTACATCTTTACACTCCTTGTTTCACAACAATACTTTATGACAGGGTTTTTGAAGGCAAGACATTGGTAATATCCGAAGCATTGCGAGCTCACAAGGTCGGAGTATTGCAAGAATCCTACGCGGAAATAATAATCAGATGTGGCGGACGACCATGTATGTAAATATAGGACACAAAAATAGAATTTGTATGCATTGCAGGTTGGATGTGTGCTGACATCAGATAATCTGGCTTGCTCCAGAAACGGTTGTAATTATATTATTTGATTGTCGACACTATTTATCAATTTGACATCAGATCATAATACGACATGATTTAAGCTCAGACTCGCAGATACAATCAGTTCTTACAATTTTTGATTAACCTCCAAATAGCTATTCTTCCTTTTTTAAGCTTACTTCATTATCACAAATCCATATGAAAAACGACCGAAATGGTATGTCGATAAAACATTTGATGATCACGTTCTCATCTGCGGAAAGAAAGACTTCAAGAAGGACTCGTTGTCAGTTCATGAAGCTAAGAAAACCCAGGTATATTATTGAAGTTTTAAATTCATTACAATTGAAATTGTCAACCAATCAATAATGAAGCATTACAAACAGCCACGTAACCCTAGCAAGCTACCAGTCTCCAAAAACATAGATTTATACCGTTCGACATAGCTACCATTATTACCGGATCCTGGGTGAATTGGTGGCATTAGGGCTGTAACATGAAGAGTTCACTTCCTATGCTAACATATTCAAAACAGTTACTATCCTGACATGAGCAAAACTACGTCCCGCGGGCCAATTCCTGCCCGTTAAGTAATTCAATCTGGCCCTCCAGATGCTACCACAACCAAATTAAAACCAACTTTTGATGTTGTAGTATATAGCTCAAGGAATTTGTTAAGATTGCTATTAAATTTGGTTTGTCACGAGGCTTATTTTTCACTCTTGCTGTTGGAACATTGTCAATATTGTTCATAAAGTGTTATCAATTTTTCCGTCAAACTTACATGGCTGCCAGCCTAGGTGGGCAAAATTATGGCCCCTCCTCCAAAAACCTTGTCCACCCCTGCATGGGACCTCAAGACCAAAATTTTTGAAAAAAAAATTCACCGAAGTGAAATAACGCCGGCAATATTTTACGAAAAAAGCTATATATTAGCTTAATACAATTGTTCTGTGTGCATGTATGTAACCTATTAAATTTTGCTTACGAACTGAAGCTGTATCTCATTTTAAATAAAGTAAATAATTCTTGTTTAGTGAACAATAACTTGATTTATCATTCTATATTCTCAGATTCCAATAGTTCGTACGAAGTTTATGTTTGACTGCATCAGGAAGAAAGAATTTCTCAAAGAGGAAAATTATTCATTTACATAAATTTTATCAAGATCGTAGCAGAGTTGTAGACTGACATAAGTACATTTTTATAGCACTGTTGCTTCAAATTTCCTCACTACACTGCACATATACAAATTGTGTAAATTTATAATGACGATTTTATATTCAATGCAAATTAGACTATATATTTAAATATTGCATCAATGGCGTTTTCCCAGCGCTTGCCACTTCATTCAACTACGTTTATTTTCACCAATTAGATTTTCTGTTCAGGTGTGAGAATTAGCAGTCTGCGTGCGGGTCCAGTGGCGAATTAAGTTGGGTTACTCAAAAAAACTCGAAACTCAAAAACTTGAGACCCGAGTCCAGTCACTGGACTTCGCAGTCACATTTTAAATTGAGTCGCTACCGTTTCGAATTCTACCTATATAAAATATATATTAAACATCTGTGAAATGGAAAAATATGAGCCATATTGACACTAAGACTTTAAACTTCTATTTTGTATTGAACCAACGTTATGTTGAAAGTCAAACTAAGAATTTTTCAGGTATTGACAACATTCACATGGGTAGCATTTCAACCTATTTCAATATATTTTCAATGCAACATTAATCGACGTGACTATCGAATTTTATGTGTGTTTTTTGAAGACTCATTCAAAATTATCTTCGAGTGTCCAGTCATTCACTGATGGTTAGTCGGGTAATTTAGTTCAGATGACTCTAGTCAATTCGAGTTTCTGCAATTTGTACTTGAGCTTTGGGTATGGACTCGCAAACTCATTCAAAATTGTCTTTGACTGGCGCTTAGTCTGGTCAATTCGAGTCTCTGGAAATTTTTTCAGGTTTGAGTTTGAAATCAGATGTACTCACAAACAGTTTGAAACATCTTTCCAGGACAGAGATTTCAGCCTTGAGTGCATGCGCCTTCTAGTGGCATATTTAGTCCCATCGATGCATTGCAGTGTACAAGACCTGGATGGATTGATCATCCGTTACTATACATAAGTGTTATTCAGATTTTCACTAAATAAATAACATACCCTGATTGTGCCAGAAAATGAAAGCAATGTATGATTTATAAATAACCCTACGCCAGTAGGTGACGCACATGAGTAGATATTTTAAGTGTCAAATCAGGTTTAATCGCCAAAGCACAGGGTTAGGTGAAGTTTATAATTTAGTTTTCGTTTCAATGTGACTCATATCGATACTACATTTTAGTCAAGAACCTTGAAGTCTTGAAATTTCTCACATTTGATATATTTATGCAACTTTCAGACACGCTTCCATATGTACTAAATGAAAAATCGTGCATACAACTTTATCATAAGCCGGGTGGTGGACAACTAGTAGTTAAATGTACCAATACGAAAAAGATCAGCAATCTTTTTTAACGCAACCATCTCTTACAGGATTATATGTGAGCTTAAATGGTTTTTTGTGCACTGTAACCTATTATAATGGCATCACGACCTATCAACTAGCACCCAATATTGTGTCTAAATGTTGCTCAAGGCCTAATGAGAACCAAATTGCCTATTACAAAAATATGCAATTTTTTGGAATCTCTCGAGAACACGGAATAGATGTAAGTTTCAAATTTGTGGAGGCGTCATAACGTGTTTGGAACGACGTAGAAAAATGTTTGTTCAAATTTTTCAATAATAACCTTGCTTCATATTACACACACATAAGCATAAAAATTCTTCTGACTGAGACAGGATACAGATTTACGCATGAAAGCCACAGCTATCACAGAGTAGGGATTTCCTTTAGTGAAGATATCTCAAGATATTTTAATGATTGTAGAATCCATTAGTAGCATTTTGAAATAGAGCGTCTTTAAATGACGTCCAACTGACTAAAACGAGGCGTACGTGAATACGCTACTAATTTTAGTCAGTTGCCTATTTTTATGCATTTAATTTATCACACATACTTATGTAAGATCGATTACGTAACATGTTGCTCATTTTTAGTTCCATTCAATTTAGCATTCCTGACTTTATGTGTCCATTTCCGTCTTAAATTTACGGTATATGAATAGCTAAGAGGACGTGAATTGCACAAACGAACATGGCCATGCATGGCAGAGGAATAATCTCTACCTAAACGACATATGTTATTCATTGCCCAAGTATGCCTATGTGTTATTTTGTAGTAGCACATAACGCGTATTATATTTTTAAAATCTAGCTTTGTGACTAATCATCCACAACTTAACGAATTGGCGGATATCTTTATGTTATGAAACTGGCGTGTAAAATCGTTATAAAGCCTTTTTTGCATCAATTTATACCATATACAAATATGATAAATATAATTCTAAATATTAAAGTCCTTATGAATACACTGCTCGGATCTTTAATTATGCAATTTCCAATTTCCGGCAATGGTGCTTGTATTTTATTAAAGAGCTCTAATGTATTTATGAGTGTCGATTGTTTATTCAAATATATATATTCTGATGTGTATTTACGGATAAATATAAAACTAGGCGAGAAGTGGACACGTCACATTAAGACCCTTTTCCGCATTGCTATATAATATGTTTAAAAATAATTATGATAATATATAAAATTTGTCAAAAGAAACAATAATTTGAGGTGCAATTTGAACTGTGTTCTCGATACTTTAATTCCGCATTGATATATAATATGTTTAAAAATAATTATGATAATATATAAAAATTTTCAAAATAAACAATAATTTGAGGTGCAATTCGAACTGGGTTCTCGAGAAAATTTTTACTCAAGGATCGGGCCCACTATGGGAACTGGTCACATGATATAATTTGAAAAAAATTAAGAAAATCTAATGTATGAGTTATAATTTATTGGAATATCACGACAAGTGAAGCAAATTTCCATCATTGCATATTACAATTCACATTAAATATATCTTATATATTGATCAGGACCAATGAACTGTAACTACTTTCGATAGTTCTGTTCTTTCATTTGTTCTTTGATTGCCAATTTGTTACAAGTAGATTGTGAAAAAAAAGTTAAATCAAATGCATTTTATTTCAATTTAGTTGCACTCGTCTCTTAAATTCATATTTATTCTCAGATAAGCATTAACCACCAACAATTTACATCACAATTGGGGCCTTATCCAACGTCAGCTTATTTGTCGTTCTACACGATCACCAATAAATATCAGTTGAGTTTCTGCTGATTTCTATCAATCATTGTATTGCATGTAATACTTGTCACGAACTGAGTTTGAAAAAATGACGTCACGTTTAAGATCTCTGAAACGGGACAGCATTACAGCAACGCACAATGACACATCGTTCATATCAAGCTGAATAAGTTATCTCTGTGGCAGGTAAAGCAAGCTGACACAATTTGTTGAATTCGAGCAAAGATTGGAGTGTTAGACATGAGAAGGTTTAAAGCGAATACAATGCGAAATAGAGTAATCAGGTTTTAGAATGTGACTGTAGGAATAACGAGTATTAAAATGTTTGAAGCTCAGGATATATATCTGGAAATCTTTTCGTTACAGACAAATACTGTTAAAGCGATGCCTTCCAGGTATAAGCTCCCAATGAGCGTTTCAGCCACGCTATTTTGCTTGAATTCGGCCTGGGAGTTTGTCACTTGAAATCATTCTAACAATCTCGGGTCATTTTATGGCTTTTAAGTTTGGGCTATGATCTGTAAAGTTCTATTTTGGATTTTAAATTATACCCCCTTTGGAAACTTGAGACTTTAGCTGTGAAGCGTTGTGTTTAGGGTTTTTAGGTTTTCAAAATCCATCCAGGTGGTGTTTGTAGACAGTCACGCCAAATGCCCTGATCGGTATTCGCCATTATGGTAACCAGCGTAGGGGAAGGGAAGAAATAAAAGAAAAAAGTCCAAGTAAATGTCAAAAATTCTTTGAAGGGCCATTGGCGAACCACAAAGACTTGCTGACCATGCTGGGGATTCGTTTCGTGACTCCTACACAAATTTTGCGATGCGCATAGGCTTCCAGCGTAATGTTTTCGCCTGTTTTGAATAGTCCATGGGTTTGGCGTATTATTAAACTCAAACCTTGCTGGTGTAAATAATGATGACACTAATAAAAACAAGAGAGCTGTGCTCAAATATATAGACACGTTGACCAGAGCGAAGCAGTATTTACCTTTGACGCCACCGGTACCCACAAAAAATTCCGAGTTTCGCGTAGAAATAATTTACAGAATCAAACCGGACAGCCAGGGTTCCCATGGATAAAATAATACAGCGAAATTTTAGACGAAATATCAGATTTCGTGCGAAATTTAGAAATAAATAAAAGTAATAGCCTTCTGGCAAAAAAATCAATCTTTACTCACTGAAAATTTCAAAGCAATTGGTCCAGTAGTCAAAGTAAAAAGCGATTTTTTTAAAAATGATGGAGACAAATAATAACGATAACAACAAAATTTTGAAACGATCGTTATGTCCACTACGTGTCCAATAACAACAAAATTTTGAAACGATCGTTATGTCCACTACGTGTCCAAAAATAAAAAATAAAATGGGCGATTAGGTGACGCGATCCAGTACGAATATAAATCATACGCATGTCGATATCCTTAAATGGATTGGCTTGTGTTCAAACATTGACTAAATGTCAATATTATTTTTATGGCTCGACTGTATGGTGGTGTGTATACAGTGTCGTAATGGAGAAGGCTCATATGTAAAGCAACACATCGCATTACACAACTGTTTCAAGAGGTAAAATTTAGATTATTGCGTTGCTTTTGTGTGCAGATTCTATTTATTCTCGTTGTCCGACTTACACGTGTAAAAAAAGACATTTTACAGCGTTCAGTCATAGCTTAAGAACGAGTAAGCCAACCAATTTTGGCTTCCTAATTTGCCGGAAATAACCAGCAAATCAGCTAATCGGTGAGTTATAACTGTAATAAACCAGATATGTTTGCGACTTGAAACGGAAAGACATAGCTTGCGTATTAGTATAAAATGTATTGATCTCCATAAGTATATTTAGTTCAGTCTGGCCAATTTGGCAGACTGTGAATTGGTTCGCTTGGAAGATTGGATTTAGCCGAAATACAGATATACACTTTATATTCATCAGTGACAAATACAACAAAGCTTTCTGGTTATTAAAAACGCCGAACAACTGATGAACCACCTTAGCGTTAGTTGTTATGTCTACAGATAAGATATAACGTACGCTTGCCTTCTGAGACAGTAGTGTTGTAGAGCCTCAATGGACTTGTGCCTTGAATAATTCAATAAATAGTGTCTATGTGAGCCATTTTGTGCCATTGTGGCGCTGTGCGTTTCTTGCTTGAAGTCTGACTAAGCCTTAATTACTTAACAATGCCATCAAAACAACAATTTCAGTATTATTTCGACTTCCAGGCAATGAATTACTCAACCGTTTAATTTAGCCCGGAGCGATATGACGTACAGTTCACTCGTGATACGATGGCTCATTCAAAATGACGTTTTTATGCCTGGCACTTTGTACGAGTTATAATGATAAGCTACACAGAACAGTACTTTATTAAAAATGTACGGCTATTTCCGTATTTGGCAACGCGTGAGAAACTTGAGTTGTGGGTTAACATAGCCTGCTATTAGTTCAGGTCATATGGCTTTACCAAGCTTTTTGTCACATTGTTTACCATTTGAATTTGATATCGCGCGTGAGGGACAAATTGCATGACCAGCTTCGGCCTTCAATAACTTCAACTCAGTCGAGGAAAACCCAAATTGTGGAAATTGGTATCAAATTGTCGCTAAAATGTTGAGCCCGCAAGTATTGTGTGCACGATTTCACGCTCTTATAACAGCGATAATGGCAGAGTTCATCAAATATAGAGCTGTCAACGACAAACAGGTCATTTTGCCAATTCAGCAATAATACGATACAGCGCTATATGGATCACTAATTTTTTTGTGATAAAAATAAGTTTCTGAGAGAAGCCCCAAGTTATATTGAATTGAAGTACCCACAAGCCACGCATCAATTTTCTCAGTATCGTCTAAGTTTTTTGATCCATATTGACTTACGATTCAGTAAGTGAGGAACTCGGCTAGTTCAAATTTCCGGTTATAGTTTGTAACACTTTGATGTTTCATTCAAGTTATTTTGTATTTGCAGTGTAAAATACTAGAATAAACTATGCAATTGGCTTACTTTTTTACCCTGCTGTTGTGCATCGGCCGGTTGTGCAATGGAGACATGTATATGCATAATCCCAGAGGATGCAACAATCGACTAAACGAAGAGAGCGCGACTAGAACGAATAATAACAGAATATTTAACAGTCAGGTATGTGGATTTCTATGCAAACGCTCGTAAACTCAGGTTATTATATAGCTATTTAAAACTAACATGCACGTCTTCCACAACTGCTATCAAAAGCAAAAAATATATAAAAGTGTACCGTTGGGGAATGTAGTACAATGATAATGAACGCTTGTATTTCAGGATTTTAATCGTCCATATATGGTTAAAAAAATATTGAAAATCCACAGTTCTGCGTTGAATAAAATAGCATTCACACTTTTTGCTTTTCTTTTTATAAAATGATGATTGAGAACAATATTTCCTAATCAGGGTGGAATTTCTCACCGGGGATCAATTTTGCTCTGTATTTGCTTAGGTGTAACGGTACTAATATTATTTAATTTCCATTAATTGACTTGTTATAAACCACTCAAATTGTACAAAAGCGGGATTGCTTCATGTGCATAACACTAGCTAGAGATCTTATTAGGATTGAACAAAAATTGAAAAAATAGTTTTCACGGAGGGGGAAGGGGGAGCTCGGGGAATGAAGTGATCCAAATAAGAGAAAAGGGGGATTTAACGAAAATGGTTGGGAACCACTGTGTTAGAATACCGATGGGTGATAAAATTTCATTTACACTGCGATATTATTATTGTCTAATCACTTCAATAAGGAAATTTTTACTTGTTTCGATATTTTAGAACAACAACAGAGGTGGTTACAATGTTGGAGACAAAAATCCCGAAGCAGCTACCAATCAGGAACAACAATATAGTATGGTACGAATTTGTTATGTGTGAATACTAAATCATAAAGTTTACAATTGTTACGATTTGTTAAAATGCTGAAGATGGGTCGGTCGATGACGATTTGAGATGTATTCTTAACCATATTGATATTTGCAAGGTGTTTTTGATTTTGTCATAATTATTTGAATAGATTTTCATAGATAGAAATTAATTGACGCGGTTGTCGCGCAGTCGATTCTTATATGAGTTAACTCTTCAAAATATAAAATAATTTGGTCCTAGTGTGGCCGTTTCAATTCTAAGACCACCTACAGTCTACAGATAGCCCGCTTTTAGTCACGTCCTGTTTTTTTTTCATGTCAGACGCGTCTCATTAGATTTTCTTTTAAGGACTAGACATTTTTACTATCACAAAATAGCTTCCAAAAGAATGAGAATAACAATACTAACTTAGTCTTTTCCGAAAATTTTCAGGAATATTTTCAAAGTAGTGCAAATGTACGCCCGGGGACAGATTCACTGAGCGGGAGAAGCGAGCTTGTAGTTCAATGGACCAATCAACATGGTTGCGGAGGGAACGAAGACACTGATCCCCACAAGTTGAACTGCAATATTGTGCTTCAATATTTGTGTCAAGACGATGTCGACTCTGCGGCGCGTAAGTTCTTCATGTTTTTAAATATGAAAGTATTCCAACTACCCTGTGTGGGTTTGCAGGTTCGAATACTGTGGGGATAATTATTTGATTAGATTGCTAGACTCCTCACCCCTGTAGGGTGGTTACACCTGAAACAAATATCTAGCTAACAAACACAATGCATAGAATAGCAAGCAGACAGAGGTCCGTGGTTCGCCATTCGATTATGCTGTCTTGTCGTCTTTCTTCTCTTCTTAGGATGGGAGAAAATAACTGGAGGATCGTATTTATCTTATTAAATTCAGTAAAATTTTATGTTTTGGTGACTCGATGTACTGAAGTTCCAAAATCTAAATATTGGCCCAGTATGGCGTATGTAATACATTGAACTGTAAGTGATTTTCTACACTTTTGGGTGAGTATTTATGCTTTTATTTCACATGGTTTTTCATTATAATATAAGATAATACAGCTAAAAATTGATTAACCATAAATCTATATTGGTATTTTTATTACACAGTTGATGATGGTTTTACGTTACGAAACGGAATCTCAACAGACAGTCAGAATTATAATAATATTGCCAGTACGTCAACCAAAGCTGATTTCGACGCCCGTAAAAATCAAGATGCAAAAGTCAACCGTGCCGTTCACGAACCATGGTGGTCGTATGACGCATGCAATAAGCGGGAAAGGAATAAGGGTAAGTAAGGTCATTTTTTTCTTCTTGCTCCCAGTTTCACTCATTTTCTCCTCAATCTCTCGAATTATTTTGCTCCTATATTCACAGGCCTGTTCGTTGCAACCCAGAATCTAGAACAACGTGGTGCCGTTTCAACAAGACAAAATCCAGGTGGAGATCGTTCGGGATGGGAATGTCCAGAAGAGAGAGATTATTTTCCGTATTGGCACCCAACAGTTTTCACAGATGCTGCTATTTTGGCTCAAAATGAGTCGATGTGCGAGTGAGTAGTAAACAATATTGTGGAGTCAACTTGTAAAAGGTAGTTGGAGTCAAGTTAAATGTTGCCCTGTCAAACCCGTCCAGACTGATTTGTAGTTATTTTTTTTATACCTGAAGTCGAAAACCGGAGTGAATCCGAAAATTTATTTCGACTTGAATCCGGGGCCGGAGTCCTGATTTTGAGTTACTCTGGGTAAAGAAAGACCAATGGAACTTCTTCAGGTAATCTAATGCTTCGCTAGACAAAATCTGATATATTATTTCATCAAAATGGGTCACTTGAGTCAGGTGTGTATTTTACTTTGAAATAGCAAAAAAAAAAATTGTATTTTTAAATAAATAAACTTCTTCAAAACATCAAATATTCACGATTTATCCGTTTTCAGGTATTACAAGCAACACAGCTTTAATCGTGCACCAAAGTCTCTGTGTGTAGAGGAATTCTCAGCTGGTGTACGAAAACATTTTTCAGACTACAGTACTAAAGAATCGTGTGAAGCAAACAGCCACTCTTGGGTGGAATATTATCAAATGCTGGAATTAGCTCCCAAATATACATCACAGGGAGACGTAAGTTGAAAATAATGTAATATTTATATATTTGAAAGTTATAATATGTAAATACCGATGGACTTTTCTAAAATTTTAGCAATCGTTTTTGGTCAGAATCAGGGGAAATGTGTGTTTCCCCTAAACATCTGCACACGGAGAGTAACGGCCAGTTTATTGCCAACAAACTAGAAAGACAAGTGATTTATTATTTTGCGTCCAGCAATGGATTTCAAATATACATGGTGATCCAAAAAGCATACCCAAAATTTTTTTTAAATACTCATACAAAAATGAAGAACGTTTTTTTAACCATTGCACCTCTGTTTTTGGGATGATTGTGCCCAAAAGTTCCAGTAACCCTTTGCACAAAATTTACGTTTTTCTAGTCCAGGATTTCCCAAACTCGGGTCCGTGATAACTGCACAGGGAGTCCACAACGATATGAAAATAGTCTGATCGATATTCAATGATTGATTTCAATTTTCAATCAAAAAGAAATTGGCATATTTTTGATTCAGCGTCGCGGACGAATATCCATTGCTGCCAGAAAAGGCAATTAAAAATTTTATTGCTTTCTGCAACGTACATGTGTGAGGCAGCATTTTCAGCTCTTACCAATATGATGACAAAATACAGGTCGAGACTCGCCGTAGAGTTGGACTTACGAGTTTGCTTGTCACAAATTGTTCCGAGAATCGTTAAATTATGCAGTGAAAAGCAACTTCATCCATCACATTGATGTCGTTATGTAGTAAATGTAACATTAACCTTACTCGCTGGTTAGACACAGAAATTGATACAACATAGGATGGGGTCCGTCAAAACTAAGATTCATAAATAGGGTTCCGCGGCCCAAAAAGTTTGGGAAACTCTGCTAGCTATACTTGATTTTGAAAAATTCACCAGATTGTGATTGAACTGGAATTAAATCCCGAATATATTTCAGTGCGAAAAAGATCACGGTGATGGATTGTCATACAAGTGGGGCAAACCCTTCGATCCAAATAAAATTGAAAATCATCAACCTATTGTAGATACCTGCTTTGTTCAACCACCTGAGATTGACTGCAAGGTAAAACTATTTAAAAAAGTGTATTATTAATCATATATTTCATGGTATATATCTAATAGATTATATGTACTAGAAACTAGGTGAAATACTTACCATTATTATATGGATAATATAGCCACCCTCACTGGGAAAAAATGCAGTTAAATTATTTGTGTGCAGACTTTTTGTAGTTCTTTATTTCAGCAGAGTATATTACCTCATGTACAATATGATAAAGATAGAAGCTTTTAATCGGAAACCGTGTGCTGTTTGTTTAATGACTATAGTTTCCGTAAAACAATATTTATTCAACCAGTTCAAACCAAAATAATAAAAAAATTTAAGTTTAATAAAGAAAATCATCCATATAAAATGCTTTCACACGCATGTAAAACACTTTGTAAAAATTGTAAATTCCACAGATGAATTGCTCATAATTTTAACAGTTTTATGTTCTTAGCGTCTCTGTGTTTACGCTGTAGTTATTCTCGATGATTTTAAAAGTTTGCAGCTTTTCTTTGACCTTGAAAGTAACAAAATTAGTTACAAAATAATTTCATAAATTTTAATATTTAATTAATTTACTTTGTTTAGGCTGCTGATTGGTCTCGTGTGAATCATCTTGGCAATGGAAGAGCGGGTCATCCATTAAATTACACTTGGGTCCTTCCTCATTACCCCAGTGGAAACAAGAAAAGATGCATACTTAGAGCAAGGTACAATTAGTCTTATTGTTTATTTAATTTTTTTGAGGGGGGAGGGGGTGTATTAATTTGGTTTTAATTTAAAATTATCTAAACCTGAATATTTCATATTGATTTTAATTTTCAGATACAACATTACCACTGATGACTACGATCCATGGAACACATTTGCATCCAAGTAATTTTTTCATTTTCTTTTGGATGGTCCTATTAATTTTGCTTCGCGTGCTTTTTGAAAGCAAACATGTTAGCGCAGATTATAATACTGAGTCTGGGAAAACTACAATATTTTTAGTTTGGAATATACTACACAATTCCTTACACGCTGGACGAGTTGGCAGGCTCGAATATCTAGAAGGCTCGATTAAACTTTCTAAACTCATAAAAAAAACGTTAGTGGCAATGCTTTGTATTATAATAGATCAATACATACATGGGCGGTCAATAAAACAGATTATATTTTCTATGGCCGTGCTTAATATGTGATGGTGTGTAATGTGTATATTCACTTTCAATTTTATTTCATTTTACATTTCAATATTATTTTAGCAAAATCTACTCATTGAATAAACATCCGTTTGCGTCCCGTATCATTGTTATAATTGAGATACAGTATTACGCATTACGTAACCTGAAAATACGTTGCGTAAGTTTGTTACGCCGGTATTTAAATGGAATATAAGACCATAAAACGCCATTGAAAATGATTAATAGTTTCAATCGGTGTCCAATTATAAATAATGAACATTACCCCAATAAAGAAAACACAGTTTTAACAAGATGGCTTGAAAGAGTTCCACAATATGCACTTGCATATATCGTCTTATATTTGTTCTCTTTTTTTTTAATTCAGCGGTGAAAATAAAATTCAACAGAATCCGCTTGTGGATGTCGCCGAAGGGGCACAATCTTTACGATTGGCAATCAACACGGCACAATTCGGGAGAACATTCCAAGATCGCACTCATGTCTTCAAATTGGCACCTCGACCTTCAAGTATGTTAGATACCATTAAATTGCTATAAGTCATCTGGTGAATTTCAGGTAATATAGGTCAGGTAATATGATTAGGTAATTCAAGAAAGCTACTTCTTTTATCTGTCTTCAAATAGTTTTCGTATCTTTGATTCGTTCTAACTTCTACCCCAATCAATGCTGATTTTGAGAAATTGCGCCTACGAGCGGGGTTCATACTGCACGATTAAGGCTCGCTAGATGGCGCCATTCCAGTAATAAACTATGCGTGGTGGTGACTTTGTGTCTCTAAATTTGTGATTTGTTTTCTTGTTATCTTTAAAAACATTTATCAGGCATCTTACCGGTGCTGAATTGTTTATTCAATACAATTTTATTTTCTATTGGCAGATTTCGACGCGGATGCCCGAGTTCTTAATCTAAATGTGAGAGGAAAACGCGGTAATATTGTTCAGACCTTCCCTGCTGTTGAATACGATTTCTATCCTACTCGTTTCAGTATGAGAAAGGGGCTAGATTATCTTCACGTTCAATGGACCGGATCTAACACACATAAGAATGGTAAGTTATGATCTTCTTTGAGTTAGAAATCAAAATCGTAATTTTCGACTGAAATGATACCGTGCCTAATACAGTGTCAAAATTTTCGTGGACCATTTTTAATACTTGGAAATGGAAAGAGTCAAATATTTTCTGATCCGGAGTCGAGTTTGGAAGTCGTGATTTTGTTCTGGATTGGTAATTTAGAGTCAAATATTTTTCTGATCAGTCGTGATTTCGTTGAGCGGGAGTTGGAGTCAACATATCTTTCAATCTGGAATTGAAGTCTGGTAGCAGCTCTGGGCACATTACGTTGAGCGGGAGTTGGAGTCAACATATCTTTCAATCTGGAATTGAAGTCTGGTAGCAGCTCTTGGCACTTTCATGTGCTCTCCTTAACTTTACTCTAAAGTCCATTTTCTTCCATTTTTTTATAAGAAAATTTTTATAAAAAATTGGACGTGAAAATATAACATATTTTGCGTTTAGGTGGGCCCGGTGGTGACGGACAAACTGGCAGTGCGGGAGAAGGAAAGGATAACACAGATCGACATAATTTACTCCAAACTATAGACACAGATGTCAATTACCCTCTTCCTTGGGAAACAATGACCATGTTCAAAGGTTGGTTATGAATGGGACTCCAAGTCCATTATTACATCACAAACCAAACTTTTATTTCAATACTAGCACATCTTAGCGCATTTTATAGTATAAAGGACTGTATTCTAATTTGATTTTGGAATCGTCATAAAAGTGTAGTTACATTTTCTTCAGTAGAAAAAACTTCCAGACATTAAGCGGTCTCTTTGTGCGAAAACTGTTTGCGCGAATAGTGTTTGTGAAGCTTGATCCTCGAAATTAAATAAGATTCGTTGGTATAATTTGAGTTAGTAAATATATGATGAATTTGAGAGTGGGAATTCTGCTTTGTTGCTAAAGTAATTTATTTATCGCGCTAATAGTTTTCTCACAAAGACTTCAAATTACACTTAGTTATATCTTTAGCATTTATCATTTAAGCAAGACGGTGAATGATAATTGGAAAACTGGTATTGCATCAATAACCTTTAAATTATACGATAAGTAAATGCACTAGCTATAGACTAGCACACTGGCATTTGCCTTTTCACTTAGGTTAGTATGCTATATGTTTTATAGATGCAACGGTTATGTGGGTTGATCACGGCGATATCACACTTGCTCAATCCAATATCGAAGTATTTTTGGCGACTGCGGGTTACTATCAGTAAGTACTTTTCTTCAACTTGCCCCTATTTGCACGGGCTTTTTTACTTTTTCTGTTTGTTCTTTTGCTAACAGTATATATGTAAGCTCTATATACCGACATATCGATTGCAAGGATACTTCTCAACCCAATCAGTTTCTCTACACTTTTAGTTGAGATCGCTTTATCTTGCTTTTGAAATTGTATAAAAATTAAAACCGAAGTTTAAATGCGACTGAGTGTCCAATTTATCATCAGTAAGAAAGCCTAAAAGCGAACGTTGCACATCAATGATGGACTACTCTCCATATAACCTAACTAACTCAAATCATTTATACTACTTAGTTGCCTTGACGGTTGCTCTAAATCTTTGGACGGTGTGGCGACACCTCTTCAGCGCACACTTGACAACGCTAATCCATCATTCCATGGTATAGTCGTAAAATTCGAGTCAACTGGCGAATATTACTACATATGTACTCGCAACAACAATTTTACAAACCGCAGTCAGAAGGGAAAACTCACGATTAAAGAAGCCTGAATTTCCAGTCACCAATTAGAAAACATCAACTAACGACACAGAAATGTAAACACTGTATATTTGATATATATATATATATATATATGTTACTCTTTAGCCTGCTTTAATCAAGTATACACGTCAAATTTCATGTTGAATATAACCCATTTACTTATTTGAATGTTCCTGATTTGCTCGTAGTCATGTACGTTGACTTGAAGTTCTGTTTTATTTCAGTCAGAAACGGTTTGTCAAGTTATGATTAACAGATCACATCATTTAGTTTATATTGGTAACATGCGTTTTCAGCAGGACTAACCATTTTCTTCATACGCTTTTTAACAATATAAAAGTATCGTTATATATTGCTTGTTCAAACCAACTTCGCAGGTACCCTGGCGAAATATGACATCAGTTCATATGACACCCGGATAATACTTCGTCAATCATAACTACAGAATTTTGCTGCATTTATCACGCTTGTATCATAAAATATTCCTCGCTGACTCTGTATTAACAACCTACATATGTATATATATATACCTACAGTACTCCATATTGTTAGTCTGCTAAATGTACCTATACTTACATCTTTTTACGTTTTTCATAATTTCACATAATCAGCACAGTGAAATCAAAGTAACTCGTGTCACATTTTCCAGAAATGGACTTTTTGGTCTTCTGTTATTATAGACCGGGGGTCATCCTTCGGTCTTGGTTTCATAACTGTACCTGTTTTGGTTTAAATTTCAGGCAGTGCCTGGTGTTCATTTTTAGATTTGGCTGTTCAGACTTAAAATTTACAAAAAATCTATTCTCTAAAAATCTTAAAAATGTGACAAAAGCTAATTCGGTTTTACTGCGACTATATATGGCCTTGGACTTACCGAGATCATTTAGCTTTCGGGCAATGACTACAGTTGTAATGTTAACTCTCGTAAAATGAATATTCCGAGAGGTAGTGTGTCACGGAAGAAATATATTTCATTTCAAAAATATTTCAGTGAAAATTATGCAGTTGTAAGTCACTGAATTTCCTTTTACATGAAAGCCTAACTCTTCAAATATTATTGTAAATGTTGTTTTGTGCTACGTTTATGTCTCAGAATTTGACATAAATAAAGGAAACTTGTATCTCAGTTTGTTTTCTTTTATTCAAACCACTAAGACAGGAATGAGCAACCTTATTCGGCTCGCGTGCCAAAATCGGCTAAATTAACGACAAAATTCTTCCACGTGCAGAACAAAATTAAAAACATTTGCTACTTGCAAAGCAAAAATACACAATAATAAACCTTTAAAACATGTACAGACAGATTCACTATTCGGAAAAATATCAGTGAGACTTCTGCTGTTGCATTACCGCTGATAGAGATTGGGTTTATATTTTGTAACTGTCAAAAAATACACAAAATACTGGTTTCATCTTTCCAAATCACGCAATAGTTCGTTTTCTGCACTCCTCTCTTGTAGTCCCTTCCCTATCGCACTATTTCTTTCAAAATCAATTTGTAACAGTAAGTTAGCAAGTAATTTTAACCAACATGAGCTTTACAACTTCATAAATCAAGCAGAAAAGAAGAAAAAGGGTGGCACAGATTATCTATATTCAGGGATTCCATGCCATCTTTATTTCTAAGATTTGTTCTTATTTTTGACTTATTTTTAGCTTGCGTCCTTATTTTTGGCTTCGGTGTCCACATTTTGTTTTATTTAAACTTCATAAAGGAAGCTTTGTGTTGTTTGTTTTATCGCCAAAGCTTTATAGTGGCATCATAAAAGCAACACAATCTTATTTGGAACACAAAGAGGCAAGGCACAGATAGGCATGAAGCATTTTATTGTGGCGATCCTTGGGTTTTGTCGTGGTGGTAGTTATTTTAGCCTAAATTTAAAAATGAGCAAATGTAAGAACGTTTTTCGTGAGGAGTACGGGAAAGAATTCAAAGTTAAACGAAGCTTGAAGGGTGAGTGCTTCGCACACTGTGACGTCTGTTATTGTTACATTGACCTGGAGGCCATAGGAAAGCCAGCTATTTCTGCTCACAATGCAGACATTTTTCCAGTTGTCCTCATTTTGGGTTCCAGATCGATGGAATCTCTGTCTATATTATATAAAAATGTAGCCAAATGAATGCTGTGCTCCTATCGACAGCTCACTCATTTGTTACGTCATAATATATTTCTTTGTAGCCCCATGTCATGAAAGGACTAAAATAGTATAAATAAATAACGGATTGTTAAACGATAATGAATAAATGAACACCGTTTTATTACATAATTCAGAGTCTTGAAACTTTTTATCAGAAGGAGAATGATCTCGTTTCCGAGTCCTCGCCCGCGTGCCAAGTTCGGCACGCGTGCCAGGGGTTGCCCACCCCTGCTCTAAGAGAAGGGTAACTGCTGGCAGATTAGAATTTTTTGGCGCTGCAATATTTTCGAAAACAAACGGGTCAACCACCACTATATATTGCTATTTGCATGTATGTAAGACTACCCATTTTCTTTAATGGGTAGAAATTATACGAACTCGCTGTTAATAATCTCCACTAACTTCGCATTCGCGGTAATTCAAGTATTGAGAATATTCCCAGGAAAACTTTTTATTTAAGAGAAGAAATGGTGGCATAATTTCAATCGTCTTTATGTCTCGTCATGTATAAGTTCGCTCTCTGCCCATTTAGGCATTTAACGGTTCCAAACATACATGAATTTGTTTTGGATGGGTTCTCAATATTTATCATTAGAAATCATTTTTCTGAAGCCCCTTTAAGAGGTCCATTTTACCCAAGTTTGATAGAAGTGAGAGGAAAACGAAGGTTTGAACATAAACGCGTACTTAAAAAAGTTACCTTTTCCACGTTTATGGAGATCCAGAATAAAAATTATCGCAAGGACCAGGTGCCGATAAACCTCTTTGTCACTTAGAAATAAAAACACACTAAATTGTTTTGTTCTTGAAACCGCAGTGCTGGGAATCTGATATAGTTTGTAAATCAGATTGCTATTTAAAATTCAATCATATTTATTATTTGGTCAAATTTTTACCATCGTTGAATAATTTTTATGTAATCGCAAATGTAACGTTGTTCTTGATGACCAGGGATACTCAATTTCCATTCTGCTTGATTGTCTGTATCTTAGATTAGGTTAGATTATTTACCAACCCTGCTACGCTATCGCTGATTCTGTAGGAAATCAAACAGATCGGAAAATTTGTAGTAAATTAGTGGTGGGGTAATAACAGGTTAGAATCCCGAGTTTGTTCTACTGAACGTTCAGACTCGGTCTCTCAAATAAGAATTTCAATTCGTCATACTCTGCTGTCTGTCCGCTACAGAGATATTTTACGCAACCCAAATTATGCAAAAATAAATACGGTTTACCTGGTTTGCTGATCATATTGATTTGAAATGCTCCAATATATGCGTAAACTGGCATCTACTGTTACGCAATACTGTACACCACAATAATTCCGTATGATTTCAGTAGCTTTTGATAATTTAGTGATAGACTCAAGGTTGGAGCTTCATTACTTCTGAGTTAGTGAGCGTGAACTTGGTTCAATAAATTCCTCATAAAAAAACGCTAAACCATCTTTTTCAATCTTCAGATTGAACGATTTCAAAACCCTTTCAGCCAAAAAGTACATACAGTGTTTCTGTCATTCAACCTGTGGGTGGTAGGTTGTATGATGACACCCGCTTGCTGGAGCTAGAGTGCATTTTGTTGTCATCCGGAACCAATCGAAGCGCCTGGGAACGCCCCTTGAGGGACGGGCTGAGCTTTTCTTGGGCCATTCGAATTGTTTTCTGCAATTGCAAATTTGCTGTGGGTGAGTATGGAAATGTTTTGACATAAACTCTGTAATTATAAAGGGAGGATTTAATTTGGGTGTTTCCTGTCGGCGCTGGTTACTGGTATATGGCGAAGCTCAGATGTTTTGATTGTGTGGTTTTGATTTCGAATAGGAAAGGATTTTCATGTTTATTTCCGTAAAAAATCTGGAAAGATCATATGGCTGTCGATTATAATTAGTCGGCAAACCAAGGCTTTCAGGTTTCTCATCGGTGCTGTCAGCTAACGTCTGAACGTCATGGCAATATGGGGATATCAATACCCCTGAATCATTTTGCATGAACCAGCAGACCATGAACAGATACAGAGATAAGGGTACGTACCATACCTCCGTTAGAAACCACTTTGCAGCGGCAATGTGCGCCGTAAAAGTAATCACAGAATCATTGCCCCTAGTCTATTGAAGATGATCATCCTACAATACTGCAATGTCTAGAATATCTGAACCATGCGTTGACTGCTCATTGCTGGACTGCCTGATAACAATCAGCAAGTTATATCAATGATATCGCTTATACCTGTATACTGAATACAGCACTATGATTTCTATCGCACGATGTGATTAGATACCGGTACCAGTACTGCAGTAGGGGTTTAAATTTATTCTCATAGCAAAACTTATTTACCTCCACTGCTGCTATGCTATAGTCTTTTTCACTATGCAGTTACACAAGGTTCTGCCTAGGTGCTCTGGTATCTTCTGAATTATGAAATGAATTTCACATAGTCTAAATATGTAAATTGGGAATTACCGTAATGAAATTGGGCATCACAGAGTCAAAACTGCAATAACATTATTCTAACCATTCTCCTTCTATTATTCATGAAGTTCGAATTAGACTACCGGTATATTGACATTTTTGTCACTTTCCTTAATTCACAAAAAGGACCTAAATAGTCGGTTGAAGGAATATGGCTCAGATTCCAGAGCAATATTCCCTACCAGGATGATTTGATTTATAGTACCTTCTGTGCGCAATAGAAACAAAAAACCTTATCATTGGATAGATAATATGCAGTAAATTCAAGAATACTTTAATACTATGGGTTGCATCTAAGTGGTGGTTCAGCAGCTCAACAAGATCTTTTACTGCTAATCACTGAATCAAGTGCACTATTCCAATATGCTCCAAAAGTCTGGGTCTGTCATTTGCCATCTGTTAACTGAAAATGAACATGGAATGTAACACATATATACATCATAGCTGCGTTGCTTTCTAAATTTGCATTTTATAGATGAAATGAACGATTTTGTAATTAATAGTAGCAAAGTATCAAGGTATTCAAATGTCATATTTTTTAATTTGTTAGATTCTTTATGTTGCCCATACTGTAGTTAGGTATTGAGATGCATTATTGCTGCATTAGTCTGTGTTTACTTACCGGTAGTATTTTATTCAACATTGGCTCATTGTTTACCAAGTACTAAAATTGAAGAGATCTTGATAAAAAACAATTTTTACCTCATATTACTTTCAATTTGGTCTTCACAATATTTCATAATATGAATTATTGAGGTGTGTGATAGAGCGTTGTCATATGATTAAATTTCATATGTCAACTGTTTTGAGCAGTCTTGACTAAACAAGTATGAGTTAAACATTGCAATTTAAATATACAGTGGGTATAATGATTCAATACCTATTATTCAATACAAGTACGGTATATATTTACTATGAACATAAATCTGCATTGCATTCATTCTTTACCCCCTGTTATATTTATTTTTGTGGGGTCAATCAGAAAACATAATTTTTTATAAACGATTTTTTTAAATTGAATCACCTGATATTAGAGTAAATATTGAACTAAATTTGGTGGCTTTGTATGCATTACGTCGGAATTTCTTCCTTTTATGGGCAGATGTTTATCTACAGCATTGTATGCACAGCTTTATATTGTTTGATAATCCAGACTTGGGTCCAACGTTATTATATATACTGCGATGATATCATTTACACCTAATTCAATTAATATTTTCTTAATGTGTGCAGTTGCTGCTTGTTTTAGCCATCGTTTATGTCAATTATAAGTAAGTAGGCTGACTACCTTTGTAATATGGGGAGGATTGTATGATAATTAGGATATTTAAAGATAAAAAAAGTGAATTAAAGTAATATTCACAAGTATCATAACAGTTCTTTTAAATGTAGAGATTTTTACATGAATAAGAGAGATACATTTGAATTTTTATATTGTGTCGAGTAACGTATTTAATAAATGTTTAAGCTTACTGGAGGGATATTCAACCATCCATGATCTTTTTTGTATTTTTAGATGA